TTTTTTTTTCTTACCGATTTTGTGCACGCGAGTTCTCGAAAACGGCTCGCTCGATTTTCATGAAACTTTCAGGACTGATAGAGCATGTAAAAAACTAGATATATATTTTTTTGTTTTGATGACGTCACTTCCGGTTTTGAGATTTCCGCGTTTTAGTGATTTTCAGAGGGTCACTTTGTCCGGCAGTTTTCTGAAAAACCACTCAACACAGAAGCATGAAATTTTCAGTGATGCTAGAGCAACCTTTGGAGAAGTGAATTTCGTATATCACAACCACCGGAAGTACGAAGTGTCGACGCTCGCTATGGCCCGAAAATAGTCCTACCAAGAATTTCAAAATTTTCAACACCTTTTCTACGATAACTTTTTACCTAGAACTATTTTGTTAAAACATGTAGAACAAAAGAAGTGTAGAATTGCATGATCTTTCAAATGATATCCAAGAAAAAGGGCTGGCCCCTAAAATGAAGGATCCAGAGGGGCCAAAACGTTTTATCTGATATCTCAAAAAGTGTTGACAATTTGTTAATTATGCATCATAGAGGGAAAGTTGTTCAAAATAATAAATAGCAGAGGCAGAGATCATTTAAAGTCGTTAAAATACCGTCACTTCCGGTCAGGCCGGAAGTATTTGTAAATGGCTCTTTTTTTGCACACATAACCGTAAATGTCTATCAATCTCGATATCATCGTCTTCAGAATTAGACGGAAGACTTATTTGTTGCTTTGCAACAAGCTCGTCTAGTTATTATTATTATTTTTTTTTTTTCTTACCGATTTTGTGCACGCGATTTCTCAGAAACGGCTGGACCGATTCTCACCAAATTTTCAGATCTGATAGATATTTATCTGAACCTTGTCGGAAATGTTTTGTAAGTACGTCGTCACTTCCGGTCGTGAGATATGGACGATTTACTGATTTTTAGAGGGTCAGCTTGTCCTGAGATCTCCTCCTAAACGACTTAAGATATCGACTTGAGATTTTCAGTGAAGGTAGAGGAAGGATAGTAGATGTGACATTTTGCATATAGAGCTTTCCAGGTAAGAAGGCATCGACGCTCGCCTGGGCTCGAAAAATAGCCTCATACTCATCTCGCAAAAATTGACACGTTTTCTTTTATATCTTTTTACCTGTTAATATTTTGTCAAGACATATATAATAAAAAATGTGCAATATAGTAAGACCTTTCATTTAATATAAAGTAAACGGGGTTAGTCCTTCAAATTAGGGGTATAGAGGGGCCAAAAGTCTCTCGTCTTTAACTTTTTTGTTTTTCAATCTTTTCAAATGATATTAGTATAGTTGATAGAAACATTTCTTATTAGGCTGAATATATAATTCGTTTGTAAATTTATAAATTCAAACTCGAGATATTAACATTCAAAAATCTGAAGCGGGAACTAAATGGCGGCGGTCTCTGTCAATTCCGACATTTCGCAATAGCGGTTAACAGAGGCAGCCGAGCGTTTGCTTGAACGAAAGTAACATAAGGAGCAATGAAATGTGTAGGGATACTTGGATTGTCACGTCCTAGGTTCGTTGCATTTCTGTGTCAAACTACATTTATAATCCAAGGTCTCCTTACAAGTTTTCTTTAATTGGTTTTGGTTGTTTCTCAAAGTAGAAAAAAGAAAAGAATTAATGTGCAAATTAAGTACGCATTGATGATATTACCTAAATCAAAAGAATTTAATCAAAAGAGAAAAGGTATGATTCCATGATGTTTTATAAAAGATCATAGTCAAAGTCATATCTCATCTAATCGAAAATTCGGACGGAAGACCTACTCGTTGCTTGCAACGAGATCGCATCTAGTTATGTTCCCCAAACGAAGTTGGGGAACATATTGTTTTTACTCTGTTTCTTATTCTTATTATTATTATTATTTTTCTTCTTCTTCTTCTTCCTGGAACTTTTTTGTCCGGGAATGATCTTGTAAACTGTTCGTCCGATGTAGGTAAAACCTTTTTAGGGTTAGTAGACATGTTATGTAGATTTGCGGAATCAAGGTCATTTTGCGCGCACGTGCTTGCAAGAGCGTGCACGTGCAACACGTGAAATGACCAACATAATAGATATAGCCACAACCGTTCTATTTTTAGATGAAATGCTTTGAAACTCATAATATGAGGATATATTAGTAGTATAGACATGACGACATGGTGAAAATAGCAAGATCTCACGCGCATGCACGTGCACTTCGCTCTGATTGGCTGCAACTAAAGTCTCAATATCTTTCTTGTTTTTTGACGAAATCCTTTGAAATTTTGAACATAGCCATGTATTAGGATATCCTACAACAGGAAATAAAGCAATTATCATGAAAACACGTGCATGCACGTGCGCTGCAATCTGATTGGCTGAAACTTTAAACAGGTATAACTCCCTTGGTTTTCAACCAAACAGGATGGGATTTGGAACATAGATAGATATAATGGACTTCTACAAGTAGGTATGGTCACCATGCACATGCATACACGTGCGTGTACATGTGCTGCAATCTGATTGGCTGAAACATTAAACAGCTATAACTCCCTTAGTTTTCACCCAAACGGGGTGGAATTTAGAACATAAATAGATGTAATTGACTTCTACAAGAAGGTATGGTCACCATGCTCATGTATGCACGTGCGTGCACGTGAAATGAGTAAAATCAAACATACACTTGAATGAGCGTATTTTTTAAATAATTTTGGATGAAATACTTTAATATTCAGTGTATTAAAAATATAGATTGTGTAGACAAGATGATATGGTCATGACGCAAATGCATTCACATGTGCACGCGTGCAATACTAAAGTTTAAATGATTTTTGTACACTTCTTTGTAAATGTTGTTAAAATCTCAGATGCATAAAGTTTGTCTTATTTAATGAAGCTTACAGGGAATATGGCACCAAAAGGGAGTTGGGGAGCGTTTGGGGAACATCTGTAACGGTCCCCGTTACAATTAGCACTAGTTATTATTATTATTCTTTTTTCTTCTTATTTCTTCTCCGGTACTTTTTTGTCCGGAAGTGTTCTCAGAAACTGTTCACCAAACTAAGTTAAAACCTTTTTAGGGTTAGTAGGCATGTTGTGTAGATGTGCCGAACGAAGGTCATTTTGCGCGCATTCGCATGCACGTGCGGGCGCGTGCAATGAGTAAAATGACTGATATATGTAATATGGTTGTAACTTTTATATTTTTTGATAAAATGTTTTGAAACTCATTATATGAAGATATATAAGTTGTGTAGATAAGATGACATAGTCAAATTTGCATGAACTCACGCGCATGCACGTGCGCTTTGCTCTGATTGGCTGAAACAGAAATCTCAATATCTTTTTTGTTTTATGATGAAATGCTTTGAAATTTATAACGAAGACATGCATTAGGATGTACTACAATATGATATATAAAATTTTTCATGAAATCACGCGCATGCGCGTGCGCTGCAATCTGATTGGCTGAAACTTTAAATGAGTATAACTCCCTTGGTTTTCAAGCAAACAGCATGGGATTTAAAACATAGATAGACATAAAGGACTCCTACAAGATGATATAGTCACCATTCACATGCATGCACGTGCGTGCACGTGCGCTTTGCTCTGATTGGCTGAAACAAAAATCTCAATATCTTTTCTGTTTTTTTTACAAAATGCTTTGAAATTTAAAACATAAGCATACTTTAAGATGTCCTACAATATGATATATAATAATTGTCATGAAAATACGCGCATGCACGTGCGCTGCAATCTGATTGGCTTAAACTTTAAATGGCTATAACTCCCTTGTTTTTCAACCAAACAGGATGGGATTAAGAACATAGACAGACATAATGGACTCCTACAAGAAGGTATGTTCATCATGCACGTGCGTGCACGTGCAAATGAGTAAAATAGTGTAGACAAGATGATATCGTCATTACTCTCATGCAATCACATGCGCACGCCTGCATTGCTTAAATTTGAAATACTTGGTATACTTTTGGGAAAACGTTGTTTACGTCTTAAATGCATAGATTTTGCCTTCTTTAATGAAACTTACAGGGAATATGGCACGAGAAGGGAGTTGGGGAGCGTTTGGGGAACATCTGTAACGGTTCCCGTTACAATTAGCACTAGTTAAGTTTGATTAAGGTACGTGTAAAACAAGTGGAAATAAACTATTATTAATCAGTTGGATTTGTGAAGAAGCTAATTCTGTCCATTACTGTGTTTGAATCTAATGATAAAGTTAATTGTTTCAGAGTTTCTTGCTAAAATTCATTTTGATTTATAGGCATGATTATATTTGTGTCGAATTCAGTACTTTTTGCATCGTGGAAGTATTGTTGACCAAAAATATTCTAATTCATTAACTATGCATGTTCTTGTCCATAACTGAATAAATTATGAGGAGGGTTATGGAGTCTATCTTTTGCTTAGTATAAATGTAAGACAGGCATATTAATTAATAAGCGTAGGTATACATCCATTTCTCAGCATTGAGTGTATGTGCATTAACGGCCAGTGGATGACACATATTTCTCTGACATCCTTTTGAAAAAACCGGCCGCATCACAAGGAGAGACAAAAAGTCACGTGCTATAAAGGTAAGTTCACTTAGTTCCTCTCCACGGTCTTATCAGGTGTTGATGATTGCATAAAATTGGTTGATTTTTAATGAAAAGCCGTGAACAAACATAAAAAAAATATAAGAAAAACTGTATGATTTCTTAAGAATGACTGTAAACCACATCCCTTTCTTTCAATCTCATTAATGATTTGTTCACTTTTTGTGGTTCTGGTAAAAATGACAGCTCTATGGTTTAATGTAAAAGACATTAGACTCTGACATGTCTATTTCTATTGTTCACTGAAGTCCGGCCAAACGATCCTTTCTTTTAAGACAATTGTGCACGATTTCACTTCCTTGTGAAATAAAAATACGTTTAATAGATCAACATACACTCTTTAAATGGATGGGATACATCCATCATTTTTACGTTTATTAAACAGGAACATTAATTCGAATAGAGCCTTGATATAATTTATACAAAGAAGTTTATAGTACATCATAAGATAACATAGTTTTCAGACGGATCAATTGGATTGTGCGGCTTTAGTAAGTATGTAGTTTGTAGGAAATAATTTTACGTTTTAACATCGACTGCAGGAATATCTAATGAATGAATATTAATTAATTTTTAGGAAATAATAATAAGATTAAGCTGAGGAATATGAGATTTTGCAATTATATCATGACAAAAATAGCTGTAAAAATAAATCATATATAAAACTTTTTTCCAAATTTATAATTAATTTTAAGCGTGATTTCACTTTTTTCCCAATAATTATGTCTTTATTTAGATTAAGTATTTATTATATTATGATATTTATACATGAATTTCAGGGAACTAAGTTCTCATACAAAAAAAAATTATAATCGTGGCTATCATAATATTAGAGGCAGCTTTAACTTTTGAAGTTTTTATATTCTGTTTACAGATTCAGTATGTGCCGCTACAGTACAGCTATGGTGAGACTAACCCTAACTTTGATATATTCCCTGTTGATTTCATTGGAGGTCACCAAGGCGCTTATTCTCCCTGCATATAACCTCAGATCCGCCTCTAACCACAAAGTTATGGCGCTCTCAGGAGCCACAGATGGAAAAGCAGTGTTAGTGTCACAAGAACAACCACTGTCCCTTAATGTGTGTATCAGGAAGCAGTCCATGGTACGACTGGACGATGTCAGGTTTTCTAATTATAATTACTCCACCTTCTTCAACGTGACCTTCAATAGTGGAGAATGGATGGGAACATTCTATGTGAGACCCGGTATGGATTGGAACCGGTTCAAGAACACGGGGATATTTCCACACAGATACACTCTGGAACCCGGATGGCACGTCATCAAGATTTACGTCATGGATTATTTCGGCTACACGGAAGGCATTGCTGTGGATACTTTACAGTTCAGTGTAGATGACCCATGGATGGACAATGATATTTTATCGTGCAAAACAATATGCACAGAGAAAAATAGGTTCCCCGTACGATCTCCGTCCTCTTCCGAGAACGCATTGCCTTCTGGGATAGAACAGAGATCGTTTTCGACTAAGTGTGCAGAAGTTGATAACATTGACATACCCCTGTACAACGCTCACGTTGACAGCTTCACGATTACGGCTTCACTTCCGCAGTATAAATCCTTCTCCAACAGAAGGGAAGAGAACACCACAAACTGCCCTCATCTAAGTCCAGAATTGTGGCGATTCGATAACTTTAACGTCAGTTCCTCGTCTGCCGAAATAATCAACAATAAGGGCGCCAGAATGTCATTTTATTCAACGTCTTCAAACGAAGTTTATATCATCGTTCGTTTCTTTCTGGAGGGACAAAAGAAGGGGAGTGTGGATGCAAAAATTGGATCGTTATTAACTCTTCACTTAAAGACCCTTACAGCTCCAACAATGATAAAATTGCGGTATAAAGAAAAATGGGGTAATCTGTCCTTACCGATTACACATAATTTTACACATCAGAATCTGCAATTCACATGGACAATCCCAGACTTTACATGGACGGAAGACAGCCTTAATTACATCATTTTAACAGCAGAGTCAGAAAATCTTGCTCTCTTGGTAAATCATTTGCGTCTGGAGAAAAGAGCATTCAAGCCCGAGAAGCACGTGACCATCTACAAGAGTGATGACGTACACATTGTAGCTGTTTACGTAGAAATGTGGTGGCTAGCCCCGGACAGAATGACTGTATACCTCACTAACGGACAGACCTACGAAGACGTTGCTTATCTACAGATCTACAGACCGATTCCATGGAACAATGGGTATTCTCAGGTTCTAGTTTTGTACCAGGACGGAAATGCCCGATTCATTCCGGTGACTCCCGAAGGACTTGACTGGATCCCATTTGGTACATCCGTTATTCTTGGACAAACGTACAGTGATTCAATAAGACCTTATACTTCCATAAAACAGCTTAATATAGACCCTGAACGATGGACTATGCGAATCTTTTTTAAAGATGGAGGTTCGATGCTAATGAAAATTAACAGTACTTACAGTGAAACTCAAGCTCATGTGTCTGAAGTTTTCTTCACAAGGGACAGATATACACTTCCGTTTGCCACTGTACGGTCAATGTATGTGTCTGAAGGTAATACTGATGTGGATAGTGTCAAGGTCGACGATAAAGAGACCTACCATATAATGGACCAATGGGGCTACGTTCAAGGAAGGAGCTTCGCATTTTATCGCAGTTGTATATCCAGACACTTAACACTTAGTCCCGACATCCAAATTGATGTGTTTAAAACCAAAATATCGTGAAAGAAAGATTCTTATTATAACTAAGAAATAATTATAGTTTGATGATTTCCTGAGAAAATGCTCAGTATTGGACGTTAGTGCTACTTTTTAATTGAGAGCAAGACGCATGGGGTGTTTCATCTGCATACAAGTTGATCAACGGAATAAAGATTGAATTTGAGTGAAGAAAACTATTTGTTGTACAGCTCTTAATACAACGATTCTTCTAAGGAACGGAATCTTCCTATCATTGTACAGAGTCATGCAAATCTTAACATTGTGATGCTATCATCTTAACGCTTTGGTCGTATCAATAAAACACTTTCACATAATTATCACCACCGCTGTACAAATATCATAATGGAGACCTTAACATTTTAGTTTTGTCCCACCATGATTTTATCGAGTCTTAGTGCGATCCTCTGGATGTACAAATGATCTAACCAATGTGTTCTATAGAAGACATAATACCAATATTACAATCATTGTGGGAACATTAACATATTGAACCCAAAATTGCACACTTCTTAAGAACCCTCTCTACACTGCACACTAAAGAGTTCTGATTCTAAGGTATTTTTCTGCAGTTAGAGTGATCTGCCCTTAGATCTAAATTCTAAAAAATAGAAATTTACAATATATTACTCAATTTGTAATAAATTCAAGTATTCTGAATATTTTAAAAGGCCAAGATAAACTAAATGAACATGTTTTTTACATGTATTTTCTCTACCGAAGTAACTAGCAGTGATTTCTATTCACTGACACTGTGCTGTCTTTGAACATTTTTCCCGGGGGTAAATGCCATGCACCATACATTGAAAATTAAATAAATAAGCTCAATGTTAAGTCTTTTATACAATGTATTTTTCTCAATGTCCAAAAAAAAAATTGCACTTGTTTAGAGAGGGTCCTTAACATGGTGATTCTTTTAATGAAAATATTTCAACACTGGTTATTTGTATTTTTATACAGATCTAAACACTGTGTTCATTTTATTTGATTGTTTTCTCAATGATCTCTATCACATCATGATCCTATCAATGTAATAAGGTCCCATTCTAACACTTGATTTCTACATATTGTAGGGGTGTTATCATTGGGATCCTATATTTTGTACAGATATTAACATTAATATCTTATATTTTGTACAGATGTTAATGCTGGGATTTTATACCCCGGTATATTTACATACATGTTTATTAACATTGGAATCCTATATATTGAACAGTTGTTAACACTGGGATCCCAAACATATACATATAGATGTTAACACTGGGATAAAATATATGGAGATAACGAACAGTACTCAAGCTCAAAAGTCTATTTAACAAAACAGACAAGGAGCAGAGCAAACACGGACCTCCAGAACATCAGTGATGGGATCATGTGCCACGGAGGAGTGAGCATGCCCTGCAGACCGGTCACAACCGCCGTGTCATGATCGGGAAATAACGGAAAATCCGTTGACAAATCAGTGTGTATATAATGGCCTAACAAATAGTTTGAAACACGTCAGTCAGCATTTGACTTAATGATAAATTATGTTTGCTGACAAGGTCATTGTATCGACCATAGAACTTGCAAAATGATGACTTTAAACGAGACTGCTGATATCCTTGTTTCAGCAACTTGTTTGTTTATAATTTACCTCGTTTAGAAATTATTCATACCTAGAGCATGCTCTCGCGTATCGAATCAGCTGAGAGATATAAACCCTGTATGCAGGTGATGAAGGAGTAAGGGAAGTTGACATTTGAAAAATTAAATTCATCACGTTCATCATAAAGCTTGATTGTTGATTAAAATACTATTTACATCTTTTTCAAGTAAAATGTCTAATTATGAACCAGATGTGTCAGACTATATGGTATCTTTTAGTTCCAAGCTCGCCTAAATATATCGTATCGACATAAGAATGGAAATAACCATTGTTAATTGGCAATAAATCGTCGATATATCTAAATGTCGAGTTGAAGGCTACAGCAACTTGAAGTGTTTTCTTTTCACGTTTAAGATTTTGGGAAAATTCTGCTTCATATTAATACAAAAATAGGTCTGCTAAGTACAGGGCACAATTGGTACCTAGGGGAATTTCAATAGATTGTAGGAAGACCTGGTCTCCAAAAACCACATAGATATTGTCACTTAGAAACTCAAGCATTTTTTTAATATCGATTTTAGAGTTCTTGTGTGAAAAGTCTGAATGTTTTAACAAAATAAGCAAAATTAGTAATGGGATCCGAAAAATTGTACACACGTTGGATCCCTAACAGTGTACATTTGTTAACACTGGGATCCCACACATTGTACAGATGTTAATGCTGGGATTCTTCATATTGTACAGATGTTAGCAATGGGATCATATTAGTATATACTGCACACATGTTAACACTTGGGATCCCATATACATGTACTAGTATTGTACAGATATTAACAATGGGATCTAATATATTGTAAATATGTTAACAATGGGATCCAACATATTGTACAGATGTTAACAATGGGAGCCAATATATATTGTAGAGATGTTCATGCTGGGAGCCAATATATATTGCACAGATGTTAACAATGGGAGCCAATATATATTGTACAGATGATAACAAGGGGAGCCAATATATATTGCACAGATGATAACAATGGGAGCCAATATATATTGCACAGATGTTAACAATGGGAGCCAATATACATTGTACAGATGATAACAATGGGAGCCAATATATATTATACAGATATTAACAATGGGAGCCAATATATATTGTACAGATGTTAACAATGGGGGCCAATATATATTGTACAGATGATAACAATGGGAGCCAATATATATTGCACAGATGTTAACAATGGGAGCCAATATACATTGTACAGATGATAACAATGGGAGCCAATATATATTATACAGATATTAACAATGGGAGCCAATATATATTGTACAGATGTTAACAATTGGAGCCAATATATATTGTACAGATGATAACAATGGGAGCCGATATATATTGTACAGATATTAACAATGGGAGCCAATATATATTGCACAGATGTTAACAATTGGAGCCAATATATATTGTAGAGATGTTAATGCTGGGATTCTAGTTACTGTACAGATCTACACACAGAGAACCTATTATTGTGCAGGGGCTATCCTTATGGAACTCTACATTATACAGATCTAAACACTGTAATCCTATCCTTATTATGATCCTATCAGTGTACTGAGTTTTGCTGCTGGTGATATAAATGTACAACTTTTATTAACATAATCTTGACATAATTCAAATCTTATAAAGCAACTGGAACTTTCTGCATTTAGAAAAGATTTTAGACATCAATATCTTTTCAATGCATTGGTGAAATAAAGGAAAAAATGACACAAATTTCTGTTGATTTTAATACTTATAAATCAAAATTACCATAATCATAATAACATTATTACAATGAGTTTATAATGCATTTGTAATCTTTATATGATCTTTTTTATCGTACTAATAAAATTATATTTCATATAATACTAACAGAATAAAACCATCAACAAAATATAGGTAAAAGCTTCTAAATTATGCATACAAAATAAATCATTATTAAATTTATGCAAAGATTCTATATGTAAATCAGAAAAACAAGTAATCCATCAGATCCTGCAAAAAGAGCTGCAAGCTGCAATATTTCCATACAAAAATATTGTCAGATAAAAAGATACGGAATCTTTGTATATAACTGGTACTGGACTAACAAGTTTTACAGTTAAATAATCATCCCAATGAATGATATGTTCTATAAATCATGCTATCGATATCCAGCACGATACTCTGAAATATATATACCTATGCTATCACACAGAAACTTAGACATTTCAGTTTAAAAGCTCCTCAGAGATACTTTTGATGAATTAGACATAGCAACATTCTTATACTGATTTATTAATTCAGCAGAGATCGGTCGACAAGGTAAGTTGCACAAAAGCAGAAAAAGAATGCAACCAGACGTACATCTGAAATCTATATTCAAAACATGAATTCTTTGGCATCTTTCACTTAGTTCTTCTGTGACTTCACAATAATAGGAACTGAAAAATCATTCAATAGAAACAATTTGGAGTATTCATATTAATTACATGAATATTCACCAAAAAACATATTGATAATCAATTGAACTTAAAGACCATCAGGGTAAAATTACTAGCAATCAAGGTAATATTACTGATAAAGATATTCAAGGTAAACCTACTGATAATTAAGGTAAACTTGCTTACATTCAAGAAAAACTGACTGATAACCAATGAATGTACTGATAATTAGGTAAACTTACTGATAATCACAAGGAAGATAATGAGAATTATCACAGCAAGTGCTAACTTCATCTGAAATATGAGTATAAAAAGATGTTTCATTTTTAAAAATATCATGTTGGTGACAAATTTAGGCTTAACTGAGACTCAGGCATTAAGTTCTTCAGAGTCAAGTTAAAAACTGTGAACTTTTAAAAAATGAAAGAAAAAATCTTAATTCTACTTAATTTAACTGCTAAAATCAGAAATGCTATATCAGTTTTCTTACCTTACAATTTTTCCACCACATCTTTTTGTGAAGTCCTCTTGCTCGGCTACGGAACATATCAGCATTACCAGCAAGACTATCTGCAGGATAATAAACCTTTATGTAGTATCTTAGAAGTTGAAATGAAGTTTTAATACTGGTATTCATATTTCAAACAAATTTCAGAACATAAATCAATCTGAATTTTACCTGACTTGTCATGTAGATCTTCCAGTTTATCTCCCCTCTCCAACACTCTGGACACGTTACTCTGCATGACATCAACAACATCGTTCACTTGGTTCTGCAATCTATAAATTATCAAAACAAATGGAATTAAACTTTTGAATAGTGTGTATGTGATGAAATTTATTTTTGTTTTGTTTGTTTGTGTGTTTAATATTACATTTGAGAATTTTTCACTCAAATCAAGACATTGATGAAAATCAAGAATAAAAATAATTCCAATATCTTTTATTACTTGTAAAAAGTTTGAATTAATATTCAGGGTCTGCATTTGATGTTTTGACATCTTACATTAATGGTGATACCCCTAATCTCAGTGTGTATGTGATGAAATCTGTGTGTTTAATATCATATTTGAGAATTTCTTGCTCATATCAAGAAGTTGATGAAAACTGAATATAAAATTAATTTGAAAATTTTTGTCAATTATAGAAAGTTAGCATAAATATTTAGTACATGTATCTACATCTGAGGTTTGAAGTCTTAAAATAATAGTAATATCCCCCCCCCCCTCCCCAGTATTAAAGATAAACCATTTGTACCTGTCAATCTTTGGGTCACTTTTACTTCCTCCAGGTCTCACGTTTGGTCCTCTGTTTATAGAAATGACAGAAATCAGTCCACAAAAGCATTTAAAAAACTGATTATTTTCTGATTTTAACATTAATAAAAAGAATTCTAGTGCTAAGTCGGGAACAGCAGTTAACATTTCAGAGTGAATGTCAGACACCTCGGCCCATCAACATCTCGGCCCAATGACACCTCAGCTCTGACATGTCGACCTATCTATAAGACACCTCGGCCCAAGCATTTCATTGTAAAATATATTAATTATTTTCGATTTCAGAATTTGTGACTTTTAAAATAAAATATTTAATGAAAAAGTAAACAAAAAGGATCATTTTTTAAAATTATGAAATAATCTTCCCCAGGCATATTAACTATAGCCAAAAAATGAGAAGACATAATTAAGGTGTTAATTGATAAGCAAACAAATAGCTGCAGCATATTCTTTCAAGTTGGAGTATCAAGTGTGTGTTATATTAGTGACAATGAGAATCAAAGTTAATATTACGAGCAGGCTCCATTGAATATTGGCTCGAACATTTCTTATGAAAACATTCAATCTCTTCAACCAAATTGTACATTAAGAAAATTCTAATTGACTTTTTTAATTAAATTCTCCCATGTCAAAAAAAAATTACATGTAGTCCATTCCT